CTACCACGCCCGGCTGATTTTTTGATTTATTGTAGAGATGAGGTCTCGCCTGCCCAGGCGGGTCTCGAACCCGCAGGCTCAAGCAATCCACTCATCTCAGCCTCTCAAAGGCACGGGATTACAGGCTGAGCCGAGCCCGGCTTTAAGTGACTTTACATATAGATACCCCCAAGAAACTGCCACCCAAAGCAAGGTGGGTTCACTAAGTAATTAGGATGAAAATCAGGTCTGACTGCTTCCTCGTGATTAGATGCACATAACCTCTTTGGCAAATATGTTGTCAGTGATCTTGAGTACTTCTCATTGTATTATACCAAAAAAACACATTCCAGTTTGTACCATTCCTGGTGGCGCTAGATTTGAGTACTTGGTTAAGGTGGATGTAACCAAATTTCAAGTTTTATGTCTGTAAGTCCCATCTTGTCAAAAAGTAGAAATTTACTTGAAGTGCTTTTAGATACATTAACTCCAATTCAGTGAATTGGGATTTTAAAAACTTCCTCATCTCCTTTCTCCTCCCCACCTCTGCTCCTCGGCCAGGATCCTTGGACATGGAGTCAACTTCCATTTTTGATTTCTGTCATGGAGTTCCCAGGCTTTCTTCATCTAAATCCATCTTCCTTCGCCAGCAATGTCTTAGCAGGCACCTGATCACAGTACCTGCTCTTGGGGCCTTCCATGACCCTTGGGAACCAAGGGAAACATGGAGGGCTGGCCCCGGGTTTCTCACACCACCATTCCTCTTGCACCTTATACCTGGTTCACACCACATGCGCTGTGAGTGCACTTTTCTGCATGGAAGTTACTTTAATATCCAGATGGGAAATTGGAGTGTCAATCTCTTCTTTTAGCTCCCTCTGAACAGCAAGATAGTCAAGTTGTGCCTATCAGGAATTCACCTGAGTTCATAGCTCCACCTGTCCTTCCTCAATAGTGTTCTGGGCCAGGAGTGGTGTTGTGTGTGCCTGTAGTTCCAGCTACTTGAAAGGCTGAGGCGGAAGGATTACCTGAGCCCAGCAGATTGAGACTGCGGTGGCCATGAGTGTGCCACTGCACTCCAGCCTGGGCGAGAGTGAGACTCCAATTCAAAAAACAAAAACAATAGTTTTCTGGGAGACAAGGAATGGGCTAGTGAAAACATTAAACTGTGGGGAGGGTGGCTTGGAGTGAGTTGGAGGGTACATGTGACTTTGACGCTTTATCTTGCTGGGGTGGGATGGGGTTAAATAAACTGTCTTAATGAAGGAATGCAATTATTACTTTACTTTGCATAGAACTTCAAGTTTATTGAAATGTATTAGAAACAGAGAGCTTTTTAAAGTAAAGGAAATTCCCAAATTGACGGACGAAGTAGAAACTTAACCAATCCAATGAAAATAGGAAAAAAAGTTTAAAAAAGAAAACAAAATTAAAATACTCTACATACAACATGAAAATAAATGTGTATGAATCCTTACAATGAAAAATTCTGGCCACCAACAACTGGGGCATGGGCAGGGAGGGGAATGACTGTGAGACGAGGAAAACTTCTTGCTTCTCAAACTTTCCTCTCACTTCAACATTTATTGACGATTCTTGCCCAAACCTATTAAGCCTGTATCAAGACGGTTACAAATGTTCCAACTCCACCACTCTTTCCACTTTTTATATCTTTATTAAAGGGGCAAAAAAAAAAAAAAAACACCAAACAAACTCTTACTCAAAACAATATTGTCATAAACTGCCCAAGAGATGGGACAAATGAAAACCAGCATATCCTATCCTTAAACTAAAGAATCGAAGGACTTTAAGTTGAGAAAATAAACAATGAAAAATCAGTCAAACTCAGTTGGATACATTAAACACGTGCAGCTTTTTGGTTAAAGAATCGAAGGACTTTAAGTTGAGAAAATAAACAATGAAAAATCAGTCAAACTCAGTTGGATACATTAAACACGTGCAGCTTTTTGGATGACAATCATACCTGAACAAAGTGGTTTTAAAAACGAACCAGGCTGGGCGCGGTGGCTCAAGTCTGTAATCCCAATACTTTGGAAGGCCAAGGCAAGAGGATTGCCTGAGCCCGCGGGTTCGAGACCAGCCTAGCAACTTGGTGAGAACTTGTCTCTACAATAAAACAAAAAATTAGCCGGGCATGGTGGCACATGCCTGTAGTTCCTGCTACTTGGAAGGCTGGGGTGGGATCTCTGAGCCCAGCAGTCTGAGGCTGTGAGTGTTCCACTGCACTCCAGCCTGGGCGACTGAGACTCTGACTCAAAAAACAAACAAACCAAACCAAACCAAATGACTCTCGCGAAAGAAAAACTGTGCTTTTTGGCTTAATCCTGAGTTAAGCACATTGACAATAATTTGCATGCAATGAAGATGGTCCCCTAAATACAAAAGGTGAATTATTTTATGCACACACTTAAAATTCAATATATTATGTATTTATGAGTAGGCCTTACACATTTTAAGCAGCGGAAATATACAAAACAACTATAAGTGAAAATAATACAAAGTGCCTCGTGTTTTTATCCCAGAGTCAAACCATAGACATCTCAGGTTATTAATACAGCTTTGAAAAATGTTGCTTTCAAAACAAAAAATTATGTGTTTTGGGGAGGGAGGGAGAGAATGAACATTTCCCTTTGCCTTAAAAAACTGTACATTTTATTAAATGCACTAATGGAACGGAGCAGTTCCTAAAGTAATATTTTAAGGAGGGAAATTCAGTACAGGTGCAAACTTCACTCAATTTCTCTACACTCAGTTGTAGTTTCCACTCAAAAGAGCTGTTGAAGTCATTTCTATTTTAGAAGGGTAGACATTTAGTAGTATGAATGAATTTTTCTACTTATTAACTGTAATTAACGGTCAGTTGTGAAGCATGTTTCCATTTTTCAATGTAAGAGTGTCCATATCTCAACCCACGAAACAGCAGACATTGCTGGGGTCTAAGGCGAACATCTGCAACCCAATCGTCTCCATGTGTGGTGAGGACCAGGGTTCAGCCATCAGCAGCACTATGGAATTGGCTGTCAAACTTTTCTGCCGTTAATTACAAAGATGTGCCCTTTCTCCTGGCAGTCTATTCCCACTGGAGGCTTTTTATTAAGATCTTGTTCCTAGAAAGCAAATGAAATGTTTAATTTTAAAAAGATGGGAATCAAGAAGAAATATCTAGTTTCTTCCTGGAAAATAGTCAAGAAACCCACTGCTGAAATGTCAATGAAATTGCCCTTATGGTTGAGCTTGGTGGCTCAGCCTGTAATCCTAGCACTTTGGGAGGCAGAGGTGAGTGAATTGCCTGAGCTGAAGGGTTTGCGACCCACCCGGGCAACTTGGCAAGACCTCGTCTCTACAATAAATAAATAAATAAATACATAAATAAAAATTAGTCGGGCGTGGTAGCGCATGCCTGTAGTTCCAGCTACTTGGAAGGCTGAAGAGGAAGGATCGCCGGAGCCCAGCAGGTCGAGGCTGTGGTGGTCAGGAACGTGCCACTGCACTCCAGCCTGGGAAGCAGAGTGAGACTCCAACTCAAAAAAAAAAAAGAAATTGCCCTTAGAACTTTGGGACTGTGGGTGAGAAGACTGTGACCGTGACTTTAAGGAATAAAAACTAGCCAAAGCTGGGCTCGGTGGCTCACCCTGTAATCCTGCCCCTTTGGGAGGCTGAGGTGAGTGGATTGCCTGAGCCCGTGGGTTCGAGACCTGCCTGGGCAGCGAGACCTCATCTCTACAATAAATGAAAAAAATCAGCCGGGTGTGGTAGCACATGCCTGTAATCCCGGCTACTCGGAAGGCTGAGGTGGCAGGATCGCCGGAGCCCAGCAGGCGAGGCTGCGGTGGTCAAGAGCGGCCACTGTACTCCAGTCTGGGTGACCAAGTGAGACTCCAACTCAAAAAAAAACCTAGCCAAGCGAACATGCCTCTGTAGGACGCTTCTGACCCGTGCAAGCCATGGGCAGGAGAGGCCCTAGATTGGATCATCATTTGTCCAGAAACCCAAGTACTGAATCAGTAAAGGGATATCCAAAGTGACTTCAGTTCTATTCAACTTGCTTGGCATGGAGAGACCACTAAGAAAAATGCAGGGGGAAGCAGAATAGCCCAGAGAAGAAAAAGACAAGCACACATTCACACATTTCCTCCAGTGAGAGGGTCCCAGGGCGGAGGAATCTACACTGAAGGGCACACCTACTTTCTGTTTCTATCATCTGCCAGTGATCCTGGATTTCTGGTTTGGTAATCTTTTTCTTTGTTGTTTTTTTGAGTTGGAGTCTCATTCTGTCACCTAGGCTGGAGTGCTGTGGAATGGTCTTGCTGGCCTCCGGTGATCCTTCTGCCTCAGCCTTCCACGAGTTGAAAATTCAAGTACACACCACCAAGCCCAGCTAATTTTTTTATCTATTGTAGAGACGAGGTTTCATCAAGTTGTCCAGGTTGGTCTTGAACCCCTGGACTCAGGCAATCCTTTTACCTCCACGTCAGAAAATGTTAGGATTACAGGCGTGAGCCACCATGCTTGGCTGGTTTTGGCAATCTCGAGACCAAAGATGGGCCGAGAGAGTTTGGGATGAATTCCCCAGGAACCAAGCCTGAATTGCACCAAGTTCCCCTCTTCAGAAACCTTGCTCTTTTCATCCTCCCTCTCCAGAGGCTTCTCCCCAAAGCTAAGCCCAGAAGAGTCCTTAGGCTTATCCTCTGTAATACAAACAAATGGGAATTCTCTTTAAGCACCCCACTGTTTACCGTTTCATTTGTGCTTACACTGGGTTCCGCGATCCTTCCGCCTCAGCCTTCCAAGCAGCTGGAACTACAGGTGCGTGCTATCACGCCCCGCTGATTTTTTATTTATTGTAGAGATGACATCTCACCAAGTTGCCCAGATGGGTCTCAAACCCGCGGGCTCAGGCAATCCACTCACCTCGGCCTCCCAAAGGCACAGGATTATAGGCTGAGCCACCGAGCCCAGCTCATTTGTACTTTCAGAAAATACCTCCTGATTAGTATCCACTTCTATTATTCAACAATCAAATTATCTGCAACCTTTACTGCTCTGAATATCTTACACTGTTGGAGCGAAAGTATTATTCATGACTCCTTTGGCTTCATTTTATATTAATTAAGGCAAATTCTCCCCATTGACTTTGTATTTTAGCCTTTCACTGAGATGAGAGGATCACTTGAACCCAAGAGTTTGAGACCAGCCTGGGCAACACAGTGAGCCCTTGTCTCTACAACAAAATAAAAAATATTAGTCAGGCATGGTGGCACGTGCCTGTAGTCTCAGCTACTCAGGAGGCTGAGATGGGAAAATTACCTAAACCTGAACCACGATTGTGCCACTGCATTCTAGCCTGGATGACAGAGTGAGACGCCAACTCAAAAAACAAAACAAAACTAAAAAAACCCCAGAACCAATAGCTAGTATAGTTTACAGGAAGAATAGCAAATATGTCAAGCCTCTTCCCCCAGATTGAGCTCTTGTCAGTCAAATTATCTTTTTTAATGTGTTGATTTCAATTTGGCTTGGAACTTAAATTATAGAGAAAAGCCCTTTACAGTCTTCTATCTTCTTAACTGTGCTTCTAATGCTGTTTGCTTAGTGACAACAAAGATACTCCACTGAGGCCGAGGGATCACCTGAGCCCAGAAGATCGAGGCTGCGGTGAGCATGCCACTGCACTCCAACCTGGGTGACAGAGTGAGACTTCAATGCAAAAAAGAAAAAAAAAAAAAAAGACACTCAATTGACCACATCACTTAGCCAATAAAATCTCAAAAGAATTAAAAGAATACCATTGGCTACCGGTAAACTCTAAATTCTAAATTGCCAACACTCAAAGCTTACTGTAATTTGATGCCAAATTAATCATACTACCTTTAAAACATGCTAAATTTGAGTAAATTTTTTTTTGCGTTGGAGTCTCACTCTGTTGCCCAGACTGGGTGCAGTGTGGCATGCTCACAGCTACCGCAGCCTCGACCTGCTGGGCTCAGGTACTCCTTGCGCCTCAGCCTTCCAAACAGTTGGAACTACAGGCACATGCCACCATGCCCAGCAAATTTTTTGATTTATTGCAGAACTGAAGGTCTCGCCAAGTTTCCCAGGCTGGTCTCGAGCCCATAAGCCCAAACAGCCCTCTCATCTCAGCCTCCCAAAGTGCTGGTATTAGAGGTGTGAGTCATTGTGCCCAGCTTGAGTTTTGAGTCAAATTTTTAAAAAATACATTATATATTTCCATCTTCATGACTTTACTAATCCCACTTGCTGGGATAATAACCTCAATTATTTTTTGAACACTTGCTTTGTGCCAGACTCAGTGCTAAGAACTTGATGTATATTAACTCATTTAATTTTCACAATAGCTTCAGGTAAGTATTATTCTTCCCATTTTATAAATAAATTTTTAAAAAGAGGCATATCTTCCACCCTATGCCACCATACTGTAGTAACACTGAACGACTTGCAACTAATTGCTTTGTTGTAATTCTTTCACAGCTATGGTGCTGTTCCCCGAGCTGAAAAAGGACTTCATCCTTGCTTTCCAGCTAGTCAATTCTTTTTTTTTTTGAGTTGGAGTCTCACCCTGTTGCCCAGACTGGAGTGTAGTGACATGCTCCCAGCCACCACAGCCTCTACCTGCTGGGGTCAGGTGATCCTTCTGCCTCAGCCTTCCAAGTAGCCGAAACTACAGGTGTGTGCTACCACGCCCAGCTAATTTTTTTATTTATTGTAGAGACAAAGTCTCACCAAGTTGCCCGGGCAGGTCTTGAACCCACAGACTCAGGTAATCCACTCGCCTTGGCCTCTCAAACTGCTGGGATTATAGGTTGAGCCACCGAGCCCAGTCTCCAGCTAGTCAATTCTTAACTTAGGGAACCTCTTGTTTGGTATCAATCATCATATGGTATTCCAGCTGTTACTATGCCAGTTATCCCAATTAGACTGTAGGCTACTTAAAAGAAGAGTTTCTTTGGTAGTCATTATTTCTGCATAGAGCATACACCTTGAATAATAATTACATAATGTTTGCTGGTCCAGAATTCTGCATGTCCAGAGAAGCATTAAGCCCTGATACATAAATGCTTCTCCTGGGGGATAAACTTACCTGAGTAATAATGTTCTTGAAACCCTTCACTGACAACCTGTGCTTGAAATACATGGCTGAGATTAACGTGTATATTCCCTTTCTCCAACTAAAAGTCAGATGTCCACTTTCAGCTTGTAGGGAAGCACGAGGTAATTACCTGTGAACACATCTGGGGCACAGCATATTGTCTTCGAGATGCGGGGGTGGAAAATTACAGGCAGGAAGCAGGAAGAGAGCACTCACTCTCCCTCCTTGCTTTTCTGGAACCCAGGCTTGACCAGCATGAAACTGGAGGTGAACCCAACCTTCTGTGTCTGCAGGGAGGCTTGTCCCATGGACCACACACCACCTGACACCTGGGGAAGGAAAGTGAGGTTAGGTCTGCAACCACCAGGACTGCACGTTCATGTTCGAGGCACGGTGTCATGACCTGCCAGCCTGGATTCTACTATTTTTCTCATGTGCCAGCTCCAAGGTGTGAACCCCAGAGCCCTAACTTCACTTCTGTTCTATCCTGCTCCTCTTTAGAGAAGAAGTTAAGGTAGTTCCAGTCAAAACTTAAAAAGAAGGCCGGGAGTGGGGACTCACTCCTGTAATCCCAGCATTTTGGGAGGCCAAGGAGAGAGGATGGCTTGAGCCCGGGAGTTTGACACCAGCCTGGACAACATGGCAAGACCTCATCTCTATAAAAACTTAAAAAGAAATAAGAAATCTAGTTGAAAATACTATGTAGTTTCTGTAATTGTCACTACATATGAGGTAGGTTTTATTAAACCATTTTTCAGTTAAAAACTGGGGACTATTTTAAACAATTTACTAATGTCACTCAACAGATGCCAGAAGATCTGGGACTCAAACCTTACCTGCATTTTAGATCTTTATTTTAGACTTCTTGGTTTAAAAAAAAAATACATATATATATGTATTTTTTTCAAGCTGGGTTATGTCCCAGGCAAATTTTCAATTAATTAATTAATTTTGAGCTGGGTCTCACTCGTACAGATGGGAGTGCAGTGGCACAATCATGGCTCACTGCAACCCCAACCTCCTGGGCTCAGGTGATTCTCTACCTCGGCTTCCAGAGTAGCTAGGACTACAGGCATGTGTGCCACCATACCTGGCTAATCGTTAATATTATATATATATATATATATATATATATATATATATATATATATATTTTTTTTGCAGAGATGAGTTCTTGCTGTGTTTTCCAGGCTGCTCCAGAATGACTGGGCTCAAGCGATCCTCCAGCCTCGGCCTTCCAAAGTGCCAGGATCACAGGCGTGAGCCACTGAGCTCAGCAAATTCTAAATTTCTTTTTTTTTTTTTAATACATTATTTTTTATTTTAAAATTGTGGGGCACAGTTAAGGGTTAGATATACAAATATGCATTGTGTAGGTACCCTTGTTGATGAGGTGTTAAATTTCTTAAAGTTGAAAGAAAGCAAGCCAAACAGATTGCCATCCCTTTCTGATGTTATCATTAGTTTAGAGAATGGTTCTCAAAGTGTGGTCCCCAAACAAGTATCCTTCATTGCCCGGGGAAACTACTGGAAATGCAAACTTTCAAAGCCGCCCCCAAGACTTGAATCAGAAATTCCGTGGATGAGGCCCAGATATCACCAGCCCTTGGGGTCGTTGTGATATACTTAAAAACTTATAAGATATTAATGTCAATTAAGCTTATTTCCCTAGTGGACCAGAACAAGTTCTTTTATTTTGAGTCAGAGTCTCACTGTGTCACCCAGGCTGGAGTGCAGTGGGCTCAGGCGATCCTTTCTCCTCAGCCTTCCAAGTAGCTGGAACTACCTACAGGCGTGCGCCACCACAGCTGGCTAATTTTTTGATTCATTGTAGAGATGAGGTCTCGCCAGGCTGGTCTTGAACCCCTGAGCAATCCTCTTGCCTCTGCCTCCTAAAGTGCTGGGATTACAGGCTGAGCCACCTCTCCTGGCTCAGAACAGGCTCTTAATATTGGGCTTACCATAGGTCTCCTGTGGAGATTCCACGGCCTCCAGAGTCTGGGCACTGGCTGCAATTCTGGTCCAGGAGGCCAGCATAGCCTCAGGGGCAGACGTGGTCACCACAACTTTATTAACTCCCTCAAGGAGAGTAGCCGCCTCTTCCGGGGCAGACAACCCTGCCTCACGGGGAGAAGCCACTTCAGAAAGATCAGCCTCCCTCTTGTTTGCCTTTAATTTTTTGGTCTGGATTCTGGCCTCTTTTGGTGTGCAAGGAATATCCTACAAATAGGATTAAATAATAAAGATAACAATGAAGATTAAAGTGCTACCAAAGTGGTCTCAGGAATGGGGAGGTCTTGATAGGAGAAATAGGCTCTGAAGAGATCTAACATCATCACCATCATTATTATTATTTTGAGTCGATGTCTCACTCCATCGCTCAGGATGGAGTGCAGTGGCATGATCATGGCTCACCATAGCCTCGATCTCCTGGGCTCAGGCGATCCTTCCACCTCAGCCTCCTGAGTAACTGGGACTACAGGTGTGCACCACTATGCCCAGATAATTTTTAAAAATTTTTAGCTGGGCGCAGTGGCTCACACTTGTAATCCCAGCACTTTGGAAGGTGGAGGTGCAAGAATTGCCTGAGCTCAGGGGTTCGAGGCCAGCCTGAGCAACACAGCAAGACTTCGACTCTACAGTAAATCAAAAAAACTAGCCGGGCATGGTGGTATATGCCTGTGGTTCTAGCTACTTGGAAGGGTGAGGCAGAAGGATCATCTGAACCTTGCAGGTCGAGGCTGCAAGTGGCCATGAGCATGCCACTGCACTCCAGCCTGGACGACAGACTGAGACTCTTAATCAAAGAAAAAAAAAAATTTTTTTTCTGGAGATGAAGTCTCACCATGTTACCCAGGGTGGTCTCGAACTTCTGGGTTCAAGCAATCCTCCCGCCTTGACTCTCAAAGTGCTGGAATTACAGGTGTGAGCCACTGCGCCCAGCCAAGAACTTTGTTGTTGAGAGTCAATTTTGAGCGTTTCACCACAAAAAATTAAGTATGTAAGCTTATGCATATTATTAATTAACTCAATTTAGTCATTCCACAATACAATGTATACATATTTCAAAACCATATGGTGTACATAATAAATATACACCATTTTTGACTCTTAAATTTTCTTTTAAAAGTGCAGCCTCATTTTTACTCTGCACAGATTTGGTGAGAAGTGGGGACAGGGAATATTCTTTCTTGAAACTAGAGGTGGAGGGTGAAGGAGAGGCTAAGACGATTTCTTTTGATGCTAAAATAGGCAATTCGGATAAGCACTGAAACTTCCACTCTGTCAATTTTCTTAAAAAAAAAGTGACTCACCTTTTGATGCGGGTAGGCATATGCACAGAGGCGCTTATATGCATCTAATTTCTAAGGCAAGAGGAAAATGAGTTAATAGGGAAAGTAAAGTTTCAACCCTTTCTCCCAGCACCATGGCCCCTGCCTAGGCCATCTCACCTGGCCTTTGGAGCTCAGCTTTAATTGTTGGCACCAGGCACGTACAATGTCTCGGTGCAGCAGGGTAACTGGTGGCAGTTTAGAGGGAAGCGGAGGAATTGGTGGCTTCTTCCGAGGTTTTGGGTTGTCACTGCATTCTGCCTTCTTTGGGCAGAGCACTGAAGGAGAATGGAATAAAATCAGTAATAAAATCAGAAATGGAATAAAATCAGTAATAAATCACCAGGTGTGGTGGCTCACACTGGTAATCCTTGCACTTTGGGAGGCCAAGATAAGAGGATTGCTTGAGCCTAGAAGTTGGAGACTAGCCTGGGAAACACAGCAAGACTTTGTCTCTACAAAAAAGCAAAAAAAAAAAAAAAAAAATTCCAGGTGTGGTAGCATATGCCTGTAGTCCCAGCTATTCAGGAGGCTGAAGCAGAAAGATCACCTGTGCCCAGGAGATCAAGGCTTTGGTGAGCCGTAATTGTGCCACTGCACTCCAGCCTGGGTGACAGAATGAGACTTCATCTCAAAACCAAACAAACAAAAAAAGCTGTAATTAATTTTGTGTAGCTTTTAAGGATCTCAGAAGTACTCTCGGCTGGGTGCAGTGGCTCACGCCTATAATCCCAGCACATTGGGAGGCTGAGGTGAAAGGATTACCCTGAGCCCACAGGGTTCGAGAACAGCCTAGGCAACTTGGTGAGACCTTATTAACAATCAAAAAATAAGCTGGGCATGGTCGCGTGTGCCTGTAGTTCCAGCTACTTGGAAGGCTGAGGCGGAAGCATCACCTGAGCCCAACAGGTTGAGGACTGTGGTGGCCCTGAGCGTGCCACTGCACTCCAGCCTGGGCAACAGAGTGAGACTCCAACTAAAAACAAGCAAAAATGTACTCTCACTTTCAGTTCTTACAGTCCAATCCCCCTCAAGGCCAGGATTTAATACCACTACCTCCCAGTTTTACTTCCTAAAACTTCCCACTGTTCCCAGCCATGTGCATCTCTCGTCTGTGAGCCCCTCAAGCCATAGAATCCACGAGGTTGCACCAGACTGCACTTCCATCCCAGAGAAATGACTGAAGCCTCAGACTTGAGATCATCATTACTCAATGGTGCCTGGTCCTCTCGCCACTCAACAAAATTAACACCTGACAAAGCTACACAGACGGCCACTAATACCCCTAATTCCACCAGCCCACCCCGGTCAGGGCAGTACTCCGGTCTCATTGCTGGTTGTTTCCTCAGCTCTACAGTGTTTCTGTTCATTCTGCTCCTGCATCTCACATACAGGGTCTCCACTCAGTTAAGACTTCCAGAACAAACACAGACTGTAAAGACACCAACAACAGTTGCTTGGGTTTACAGAGTACACATTACTTGGCAGGCATAGTGTAGGTGTTTTACCTAATTATTCTAAGTAAATTAGATCAAGATAGGTTTGGTTCTCACTTATTTTTAGAATAGGAAGCAGAGATTTTTTTTTTCACTCTGTCACTCAAGCAATGGCGATCATGGCTCATTGCAGCCTCAAACTCCGGGGTTCAAGCGATCCTCTCACCTCAGCTTCCCTAGGAGTTAGCACTATAGGCACACACCACTACATCTGGCTAAATTGTTTGTTGTTGTTTTTGTGTCAAGGCCTCACTCCGTTGCTAAAGCTGGAGTGTAGTGGCACACATTTGGTTAATTTTTTTTTAAGAGTCTTTTTTGGCCTGGCATTGTGGCCCACACCTGTAATTCCAGCATTTGGGAAGCTGAGGCCGGAGGACTGGACTACTTGAGTCAGGAGCTCAAGGCCAGCCTGGGCAACACAGCGAGATCTCATCTCTACAAAACATATAAAAAAATTAGTTGGGCGTGGTGGCATATGCCTGTAGACCCAGCTACTCAGGAGGCTGAGGTGGAAGAATCACCTGAACCCGTAAGGTCAAGGCTATGGTGAGCCATGATCATGCCACTGCACTCCCGGGTGCCAGAGTGAGACCTTGACTGAAAAAAAAAAAATTTAACTTAGAAAGTTTTTTGGCCAGGCAGCTCAAGCCTGTAATCTCAGCACTTTGGAAGGCTGAGGCAAGAAGATGGACTGAGTCCAATGATTTGAGACCAGCCTGGACAACTTGATGAGACCTCATCTCTACAATAAATCAAGAAAAATTAGCCGGGTGTGGTGGTGCACACCTGTAGTTCCAGCTACTAGGAAGGCTAAGGTAGAAGGATCACCCGAACCCAGCAGGTCGAGGCTACGGTGGTCGTGAGCATGCCACTGCACTCCAGCCTGGGTGACAGAGTGAAATTCTGACTCAAAAAATTTTTTGTAGGGATCTCTCAGTGTTGCCCAGATTTATCTCCAACTCCAGGTCTCAAGCGATCCTCCTACCTTGGCTTCCCAAAGTGTTGGGATTACAAGTGTGAGCCATCACTCGGCAGGAAGTGGAGTTTCAAGGATGGGTCTTCAAACTTACAGCTGCCAATCATCAAATCATTGCACACTGAGATCCTTAACTCTAAGCAGCAAGTGAAGGCAAAATGACCAACAGAACCAAACATGCTGTGGATGCTTGGAGGTAAGTCCCAGAAGTATCAGAGCAAAGATGAGCAAAAGAAGGCCTCAAGGAGGTACAGTTCAGCAAGACCTGGAAGGAAATATTAAGATTTGCAGAATACAGGATGGAAATTTCTACCCTGCTTTTTCTGCACTTCCAGGAAACTCCTTAAGCTTCTTAGTTAGCCCTGAGTAAGTAGGTTCTGAGGATCTGTAGACCTCTTACCTTTGTCATCTCGGGCTAGTGTTTTTCGTTTGGTCCCCTTCGCTGAGGTTCCAGGTAAAGCACTGGTGCCTGGCGAATCAGAAGCCCGCTGATCCTCTTCAGCTTCTGACACTTGTTCATATTTGGGATTTCCACAGTTTTCCTTGGACGACTCGGTGGAATTCCGCTGTGGACAGAAGAGCTGGTCAGTTATTTCTCTGGTGTCCAAAGCACCACCTACTCACGTTTATAATCTCAGCACTCTGGGAGGCCGAGGTGAGAGGACTGCCTGAGCCCTGGCCACTTGGGGAGAACTCGTCTCTACAATCAATCAAAAAATTAGCCGGGTGTAGTGGCACGTGCCTGAAACTCCAGCTACTTGGAAAGCTGAGGCGGAGGGATCAACGGGAGGCCAGCAGGTCGAGGCTGCGGGGGCTGGGAGCGTGCCACTGCACTCCAGCCTGGGCAACAGAGTGAGACTCCAACCACCCCCCCACCCCCCCCAAAAAAGCACACGAAAAGACCAAAAACGGAAATGCAAACAAAAGAAACAGGCTCTGTCTTGGGGGAAGAAGCCATTATGTCACCCACTGTATCCATCGTCTCTCACCTGGGAAGATTCTTTTCCCCATTTCTTCATTCTTGGACCCCCCCGCCCCGCTCTTTATTTCAAGATCCCCCTCTGTCTCCCAGACCGGAGAGCAGTGGTGCGGTCGTGATTCACGGCACCCTTGAACTCCTGGGCTCAGGCGATCCTTCCGCCTGGCTGGGACTACGGTCACGCGCCGCAACGGCCGGCTATTTTTTTTTTTTTTTTTTTTAGGAGAGGACGTCTCGCTACGTTGCCCAGACTGGTCTCGAACCGCTGGACTCAGGCAATCTTTCCGCCTCGGCCTTCCAGAGTACTGGGATAACAGGCATGAGCCACGGCGCCCGGCAGACCTCTTTCAAAAAAATTATTTTCCCAACACTGTTGCCAGAGGGATGCTATCAGCTTCCCTTCCGCAGCTTATTGCTCTTAGCATAAAGACAACGAAATGCCCTCACATGACCTGCTAGCCTCTTACCTCCCATATCTCAGCCTTATCCCCCCGCCCCCCAAACACGGCCCCCCTGGCCCAAGCTCTAGTCACACAATTCCTTTCCTTTTTCCGAAGTGGTTTCTTTGAGCCGGGCGGGGTGGTTTACACCGGTGATCCCAGCATTTTGGGAAGCAGAGGTAAGAGGATTGCCTGAGCTCAGGAGTTCGAGACCAAGCCGGGCAACTTGGCGATACCTCGTCTCTACAATAAATAAAAAGTTAGCCGGGCTTGGTGGCGCGCCCCTGTAGTTCCAGCCGCCTGGAAGACTGAGGCAGAAGGATCGTCTGAGACCAGCAGGTAGAGGCTACGGTGGCCATGAGTGTTGCCACTGCACTTGGGCCTGGGCGACTGAGTGAGACTCCGACTCAAAACAAACAAACAAATAAAACCCCAAAGCTGTTACTTTGGCCCACAGTGACATTCCTAAGCTTCCCTGCCTCCACTCCACTTCTGTTCACATTTAAAATCTTACTCCTCTCTCTCAGCGTCTCACTTCAAGGGATATTTAACCTGGGAACCTCTTCTAGTCGTTCCAGAACCATCAAGGCTACCACAAAGCCTCATTTCTGCCGCTTATCAATTGCATTTTACATTTGCTCGTGTGGTCTGATCAATGCCAGATACTCTGACTGTAAGCTCCACAAGGGCAGACTTTCTTTCCCCTTCATCATAAATCCTCAACAAATACTGGTTAATTGAATTAAAAGAAATGAAGAAAGCAGTGCGGATTAAGTTGTTTTAGACAGAAACACTAAAGTGCACGGCACCCCGGTCTCATATCAGACATTGACTTTGACACGATTCATTCTCATTCAGATTCTCACTCAGAGGAATCTGGCAACAGTCTATTTTTCAGGTGCAGAAGCTGAGGATAGGAGGTTACAAAACTAAGGACACACAGATTAAGGGCGCATTAGATATAAATTAAATCCTAGTGCATTTTCTCCCAAATCTAAATCAATCCTTTTTTTTAATCACCTCCAAGCTGGGATTACTGGACAAATTAACATTTATATGGCGTTTTTACATTTCTATAGCAGTCCTACATCTGTATTCGCATTTTACATTTGCATAACCCTTACACAAAGTACTCACTTGTAAACCTCACAAAAGACTTAAAATTGAGGGCTCAAAATGCCCGGTTTCCGGGGAAGAGGCCCTGATGGGGCTCAGGTAGGTGGTTCAGAGCTTTTGGAAAAAATCTCAAGGCCTCTCTTCCTTTAGTGTCTGTGTGCAGTGTTGTCAATGGCTGGCTTCAGATCATTCCTTGGTCCTAAGGACCCTGGGAAAAAGATACCAGTTTAGACCCAGCACCTGTGGGTTTAGGACCTGTGTCCATTTAAAGGAAACTCAGGGGTCCATTCTTTTCCAACCTGTGCTCAATGACCTCTTCCTGAAATCTTTGCTTCCCTTTTTCTCCTGATAACATTTCCCTCTGGCCTCGATATTCAATTCTTTCTGCTGGGATAAAGCAACTCTTCAAATCAGGAAACCCATTTGTTATTTGTCTCCTCACTCCAATGTACCAGCTGCAGTCACATCTAGGGATTGGGTTTTTCTTTTTTCCAATAAACAAATAAAAGGAGAAAAGTCTAAGGCACATTTTTTTCTTCTTTAAAGAAAGATCAAGCATGCTCAGGGAGAAGAGAGAAGCATGAGGAGACCCACAAAGATGGAAAACAAACCCACCACTAAAACTATACTTACCTCCTTGGTTCTTGCATTCTCCATACTCAGAGAAAAAGTGGAGCTTGTTGTAAACCTTCCAAAATGGCTCCCTGCCCTAGGCGGCTCTTGGGGAAGTCTCCTCCCACTTCCTACCTCTTTTCTCCTCCCTTTCTGTTTCCACCCCCTCAATTTGTAAATGCTAAAATTGTGTACTTTTCTGGTGCTTGAGATGACTATTGTGTGGTTGAATTACTAACACCATTCCTGGCCCTTTTCTGTGCACTTTTAACATCATTATCCAAGGTATGGTCCAGGGAGACATTGAGAGTTGAAGATTCCTTCAGAATAATTCTGCAGAAAAAAGCAAATTTGCTAGAGACTTCACAATAGGTTGTGTGAGGGAATTTAATGGTGGAACTTGTGGAAACGGTAGAATTCAGGGACCAGACTTGAAAAAAGCTAAGCCATTTTCTTGTATTAAACACATTCAATTTATGGTTTTTTGTTTTTTGTTTTGTCTAGGGCCATGCCATCTTGAATGCGCCTGATTTCGTTTAAATACATTCAATTTTTAGCCGGGCTCGGTGGCTCAGCCTGTAATTCCGCGCTTTGGGAGGCCGAGGTGAGTGGATTGCCTGAGCCCGCGGGTCCAAGACCCGCCTGGGCAACTTGGTGAGGCCTCATCTCTACAATA